TTTTCCTGAAAAACTGCTAAGCTTACTCTTATTTTTAATAAGTAATCTGTAAAATCTTTAGGCCTTAATTTATACCAATTACAACTCTATAAGTATTGCCATCTTTTATCTCCCTCATTTCTAATCTCTATATCTTTTACTATGTTTATTGATGTTGTGTGCCACTCTATATCTATAACCAGTGGTGTGGCTGGACTGGATCTCATGATTCTTCCTATGATTGCAAGATTTTTTCAGCACTAACCATCAGGGGACTTTGAATTTAAAAAAAAGAGTATTACTTAAAGTCCTAAAAATTACATGGCACTCCTGGGGCCACACATAGTGTGGGTGGAGAGGGGGAGGGGTCACAGGCTTCGGGTTCTGCTTTTATTGGGATCAGATGGGGCCTAGGGTTTTATGGAATCTCTCTTAATTGATGAATTTAAAACAAAGAGTGGGGGTTTAAAGTGTGGGAAGAGAAAAAACAAAATGGTCAGTTATTGGTCAGTTATCTAAGGAGCCTGGTGGAGAAGAGGTGGGGTTACGGGGGTGGAGATGGCCTGGCTCTTTATCTAGTTGTGCGGCTCACACTGTGTTTGAGATAGCCATCTGGCAAGTGGATGCCTCTGTGAGAAGGATGCCTTAGCAGTCAAAGTTTGTCATACACTTGCATTACAAAAGAGAAAAACCAGGGGGAACCACTGCAGGGAAGCTAAGGGCCAGGAGAAATTGAGAGGAAAATGCAAAATAACAAAATTTTAAAACTTCTCAGAACTGGACAAGATCATCCTGCTTGCTTTAGTAGAAAAGTGCAAGTGCGTGCAGGCATACAAGAACATCGGTGCATGAACTGTTGCCCTCAGGCAATGCTGGTAGGTGCTTGCCCAAGAATACCACTGTCAGCCAAAATATCAGACAGCTGAAGAAGTGCTGAGAGAACATCAAGGCTCGAACCAAAACTATGATGGCCCATGAAAGCAGAGAGAAAGTAAAACGGAGTGTCAGCCCACTTCTGAGTGCTCACTTTCTGGAGAAGGAGATCCTCAGCATGCTGCCCAATCAGCTCCACTTTCTGCACAGCCCTCCCTTAGAAGAGCCCAGATACCACCCTGATGCCTGCGGCCCAAGAATCATTTGCTGTTTCAAACAGAGAACTGATGAGAAAGAACTCATACATTTTCTAGTATGTGAGGGGACCTTTCAACCTGAACCCTCGTGTTCAGATGTTAGAATAACAACCAATAAAACTACAGGAGCAAAACTTCTCAGGAAGGTACTTTAAAAAACATGCTTGAGGAAGAACACCATGAACAAATGTGCATCTTACAACTGCAGCGGACACAAACGAATGAGGTGCCCGTGGCCAAAATCCAGCAGAGAGAGTGAGTGGGAGATGGCAGAGGAGGAACACAGGATAAAAATGGAAGTTCTCAATGAAAAGATGTTTTGGGGGGGAAACTATGAACTTTTACCAAGGAATGGCCTGTTTCCTCATTAACTGGCCCTTTCCCAATTCACCCTAAGACTGTGAGGGTGGCTCTCTTGTGGCTAACCTGTGTTGGCAAAGAAAGTCTGGAGCATGAACTTTCTGACAGCAGCCTGGATCAGAGCTACAACTAGGAAAGTTAGAGTGACAGTAGTCACTTAACAGTACATTCAGGTAAACAGCTGTATCCTCTGTACCCCTTAAGCAGCAAAGAATCGGTTATAGTCTTCTGAATATTATCACTATGAGTGCTGTCATTCTGAATGTAATGTCTTCTAATTAGAATTCATACAAGAACCAGAGAGAGAGAAACCAGCTGTCAGCCTTACAGTACAATTGATTTATTGCACTGATTAAGACCTGATGCAATTTTAGGCAGAAGTGATGACAGTTATGTTGCTTCCTCTTCTCAGATCTCAGAGGTAATATTCTCAACTTTTCACCATAACAGTAGGCTTGCAAGGATTTTTTGTAACTACAAGGATTTTTCTTAGTTTATGAGAGAACATAATTACTTTTTATTGTTCACTTGATAAGTGTTTTATCAAGAATAGATGCTGAATTTTATAAAATTATTTTCTGTGTCCATTGAGATTAATAATTTTTATGATCCACCTGGTTTTCCATTATCCCATTACTGTGATAAATCATATTTATATATTTTTAATATCAACTTTACAGTTTTGGAATAAACCCAAGTTAGATGTGTCATTTTACTTTCCTTATTTATTGCCAGATTTAATTGGTTAATATTTTGTTTAGGATTTTTACGTCTATGTTTATCAATGACATTGGCCTGAAATTTTTCTTACTTACACCATCTTTGTCATGTTTTGCTATAACATTATGCAGAGCTCAAAAATAACTTAAGAAATATTCCTTTTTTTTCTATCTGGAAAACTTTGAAGGTAATTGGCATGATTTCTTTATTAAATTGCTATCAAGGGTAGTTTTAATTATAGTTTCAAAAGATAACAGTTAAAAAACAAATCAGATTTTCTTCTTTATCAGTTTTGAAACTACTAGCAGAGAGATGTAATTATAGATTATATTTTTAAATATTTATAAAGCTACCCGCATTCTCTCTTCTCTGCCTATTTTTATAAATTATGTTTAGGAATATGTATTTTATTTGTACACTTTTCTATTTATTGGCTAAAAGTTACTCATTATGTATTTTTATGATTTTTTAATGTCTTCAGGAGTGTCTGGATATTGCCTTTTCCATATTAATGTTGGTTTTATACTTACCAGTTATATATTGGATAAATAATGTCATTGACCTTTCAAAAAGTCAATTGTCAGAAGCTGGGTTCTCTAAAGTAGAAACAAAGGCAGAATTTTGAATGCAAATTATTTTAAACAAAAGTACAGAGGATGTTTTTAAGAAATTAAAAGAGAGTTTATTCAGATAATGGATATGTGAACCAGGAAACGCAGCCCTCAGTATGAAAAGAGAACATGTTCCAAGATGGAGGGGATGCAGCAAGTTTTTAAAAGGCAAAGTTGTAAGGAGCTGATGATCGAAGAGATGGTTGCTAGGAGAAACAAGACCATAAACTTATATCATTCATTTCTGACTGGTGGAGAATTGAACTTTCAATGGTTGGCTGAATCACTGGTCAAGCAAGTGGGGTTGTGAGGTGAGAACAATGAGTAATATATATTTAAACATTTATCAATGTCCTAGTTTCAGCCTAGGCCTGTAAAAAAAAAAAAAAAAGTGGGGTTTTTATTTCACAGTTACAGAGCAGGAAGTATTATTTATCAGCCATGAAAGAAGCACAATCTATCAAACAGTATAATCAGCAGAGGGGGGCTGCTGGCTCTGCAGGTGGTTTTAGAGCCTAAAAGGACAAAGCCATGCCTTGCAAGCAGCTTCAGAGCTCAAGCTTTCAAAATCCAAATGTTGGGCCACAAGTTATGACATTAAAGTTCTTATGAGGGCTCAGTATTTGTTAGTTATTAACTAACACCTATGAGGAGAAGAGGTAGAGCAGCACTGGGCAAGGAGAAAAGCTGAACTGCAGCATAAGCCAGACAAAGTCTTGGCCAACACACCGAGGCTCTGCTGCATTACTCAGTAAAATTTCCCTGTGTCAGGTGAAAATGGTCAGGCATTCACTTCCCAGCTTGTGACTGCAGGGAAATGGCCTTCTGAAACTGAGGCAAATTACAGAGACCCTGGTCATGTCATGTCCCATAACTCAAAGGATTCTCACCAATTTTACTGTCTTCTCTCGCATCTACTTTCTTCCAGCTGCTCTTAGGAACTAAAAATTATCACTTTATGCACAGTAACTTGAGTTTTTCAGAAATCATTCCAAAACACTCTTTGTATTTTCAAAAACAAATATGTGGGTTTATCTGAATATTTTAGCTATATTCTCTCTTGTAATGAAAACACTGATATTATAATAGTTCCTTCATGACATTTTCTTTTTATATGACTTGCTCTTTTCTCTTGTTTATATCTCTGTTAGTACAATCTTTCCTGACCCATTTGTGAAATAATGTGTTAGTACAATTTTTCTTTACCCATTTGTGAAATAATGTGTGTACTGTACCAGCTTCACTTCCCTAGGGAGATGTCTTGAGTTTACCACTTAAAACTCAATTTTCTCATTTCAGAGTTTTTATTACAAGGGAATATTGTGTGAGGTGTAACAACCCCTAGTGTCAGAAAAATTTTGCCATTGTCTTGATTCTAAAACAGAAAAATAAGTGCTTATGTCTTGACAGGTGAGTAAGATAGCCCCTCAGTCTAATACCTTGTACACCTCCTTGTGGCTTCTCCTATGTGTCTGATTACACACTGCTGTCCTACCCATACTCTTCACTCAGGATTTATTTATCTAAATGAAGGCAGTAGGATATAGACTTAATAAAATATATTTTTTATCTAATACCTCATCTGCAATACAGTATTAAAAATACCTAAAAATTGCTAGGCGATGATTAAAGGAGTTGACATTGATTATGTCATTTAGCACCATGACAGCAGATAAAGTTATTACAATTATTTAACAAGTGTTAAACTGAGTCACAAAGAGGTTAAATAACTTGCCCAAAGTCTCAGAGCTAATGAATGGATAAGCCACCATCCTGACAGTTGGTCTCTATAGCTGCAATCTTCATTGCAGTTTAAATATCATTCCTCAAACTCTACCCATATAGTATTCAAAAGGTCTATTCCCAATCTTATTTTTTATCTTTTCAGCTAATTCAAGCATTCCATGGCCATCTCTGCTTGAGTTCTCCACTCTGCTATTCTCTTCTCTCCCATCTCATTACAGTGATTGAACATACCAAATGCTGAGATATACCAAACTTAAGACCAAAATTTTACTCTTAAAAGCCTTCTTTATTCTGACCCAGAAGTGTTATGAGTTTTGACTCAGCCGCCCTGACTAGGTTGCATTCTTCAAGGGGTAGTTCAGGCAGTCTCCAAGGCTGGTTTAGTGCTTTGAGTTCTTTGAGCTTCCAAAGAAGCCACTGAAATGCCAGGTTAAATGATTTTTCTTTCCCAGCTTCAGGGCATTTCAGATGAACATCTTTGTCCTAATGAGGGCAGAAAAGTTAGTAAACTTCAAGTGGATTTTTCTGTTCAGACACCAGATCCCCTCCCTTCCAGGGGGCACAGACCATACAGTTGCTGGATTTTTTGGATATCGTCAATATCAAGGCGGAACGTTCTAGGGTTCCGATACATATATCTGGGGTACATTACAGAGTTCTCACTCATGGAGTGCCACAGGCCCAGAGAATGACCCAGCTCATGAATGGCAACCAGGTGCAGATTAAATCCTGAAAAGGCACAGACAAAAAGATAAAACTTAACTATGTATAGAGAAGGCAGAAACTGGTGTGTGAAAAAGAAGGGAGAAAAAAAAGAAGAGAACAGAAAAGGAGGAAAGAACAAATGTTAGAGTGAAGAAAAAGAAAGGTAGGCGAGAGGGAAAGAATCTAAGTGGGAAAAAAAATGACAAAATATATAGATAGATAAACTGAAAGAGAATGAAAAGCATGGAGAAATTTGATCATTGGAAGCAAAGAGAAACAATGTGAATGTGTTTATGACAGGAGCATCTTTGCTCAGAAATGATCCCACCTCCCCCCACTCAAATAGGAGACCCAATTCTCCAGCCAAATCTTTCTGCCCCACCATGGCCACTATGATACTTTCCCTCTATTCTCTTTATTATAACCCAGGCCCAAACGGAGACCATCAATACAAACCCCCAGGCTCCCAGCTTTAGCACTCCCACCACATAAGGTCTTTACCTTTGTATGATGTTGACCAATATTCTCCCTTGTCAAAGTGGATAATTCCTGGAGTTTCAGAATTTGGTAAAAAGGCATGGGCTAAGATACGACCTGGCCCATCAAAGGGCCAACCATCTCCATGGTCTGTGGACAATGACAGAAGCTATTGTCACACTGAAGGGTCAGGTCAAGAGCAAGAATGGCCTTAGAAAGCCTCAGGGCCTTAGGGTACTATGCAACTGGGTATTGCTAAGGTATGAGAGGACTAAGGCATCATTTATGCAGAGGAATAGGGCGGTGCTAAAATTCTAACTACTTCCTGTCTTCTGTGGTAAAATAGAAAAGGGAAAGATGGCAAAGACTGATTGAAAGTTATATGTTAGACACAAAAAACCTCCCCCCAAATGGAGGGAAATAGGGGGAGGAAACTTAGACTCTACGGTTTTATAAATAGGTTGGATCAATGTTGAGAAGCATTTCAACAGATTTGAAAGCTATACAACTTTCTTTGAAAAATGTGCAATGCCCTCTCCCTTACTCTGTTCACAACCACAGTGCATCCCCTCACCTACCTACTGCTTCATTACACTAAAATGTCTTTCCTGTGTTATTGACTTATTTATTTCCATTAGAATTTTGCCTGATTTTTTTTTTTTTTTTTCTCAGAGATTGGACTAGGTGGACTAGGTTTTTGTTTATAGATTGAGAACACTTGCCCTTTATATATAGGACACCAAACCCTCCCTCTCTTTCTGGGAGTTTCTTACCCAACTCCCAGAAAGAAAGCTTGATGTCTGCATCTTCACCCTCTACTTGCTGGAAGATCAAGGAGGTCACATTGCTCCAGATGGATACCGAGTCACGTATAATGTCATTCACTGTAGATGGATTCATGTCTTTTGGATAATTGATAATACTGAAAGAAGAAAATTTTAAGTAGAGTAACTCAAAGGTAGGGGAATTAACCTAACTTTAAAAAAGAGTGACTCTGCTCTAGGGCAAATCACTGAATATTTTGGGGCTTCATTTTGCTCATCTGTAAAATAGATAAACCCTAGACTAATCAGATCAGAAACCCAAAGAATTAAACCTGCAAAACATGGATTTCTAGATATTTTAATAAATTCTCCACATCATCCTTATGTAAATGAAAGCCTGAGTGTGAGGAGGGAAATAATCAGCATGCTCTCAATTGTAATGTACACCATTTCATATAGCTTAGCATTGCTTTGCCTTGGATATATCCAAATATGCTTAGGATCCCTAATAGAGTAACCTAGACAGGGAGCAAAAATATATCAAAAGTATACACAATAAACACCACCACCCCCACACACCACAGAAAGACAGAATAGTGGGATCATGTTCAAAGGATAGTGATTAGGCTCCATTTTGCTAAAGAGATGATCTGAGGAAGCTACAATGAGAACTGGGAGAATCACCTTCGCTAAGAGAAATTTGGCATTAGGAGAGACAGGGAAAACAGAAGACAGTAGAGGTACCTCCAGGAGGGACACTGTAGGAAATCCTTTGAGGTAATCACCTCACTCATCCCTTAGGGTCTTAACAAGTACCTATAGGTCAGATTGTACTTATTCCATCTGGAACGTTCAGAGGAGTTAACAACATCAGTTATCCCACAGCGAGCGTGGTGGAGCATAGCCAGCATTGGCTCAGCCTCTGGGTCTGTCTCATTCAAATGGATCTGCTGCAGAAACTGTATCTCTTCCCCCTGGGTAAGGAGTGGCTGTTCTCTCTTGGTCAGGGAACACCAATGGAAATTGTCCTGGGTGAGAGACAGGAAATGGATGAGTACTTAGAGACAATTAGGGCAGACTCCAGTATCAGAACCTCAAGGTGGAGTTTCCTTTGAGGGCCTGGGAAGGATGGTGCTTTGTCTATCCAGACTTCATAAACCTCCTGTTCTCAATCAAATGATGGCCACTATCCTTGATTATCCTGTCACTAGGAAAAATATTAAACACAGGTGATAAAATAAAAATGACTTAGATGACCTGTTAAAATATCTCTAAAAATAAAGCATCTAAGTTTCAGGATAGAAAGTCCCAAGAATAAAGGTCTTGAAGGTATCAGATGCGAATTGCCCAGGAAGATGGCCTCTGGTCTTTCTGATTGATTGAGGTTTTCTTAGTCAGGACAGAACTGATGACTCCTCAGACACAGAATTTGGCTAGTTCTGCATAACCAGTCCATCTGCATTTACACATCACATTCCACTTATGACCCACTCCCTATCTCCATTGACTTTCTTATCAGGCCAATCTACTGAATTTTTACTTCCTGGGGGAAAACCCAGCACCGTGCCTTATAGTCAAGCTTTCTGTCTGTATTTTTGAACTTTGGCTGAACTGAAAGTAATTTAAGGGCAATATTTATGTCTAATAAAACTCAATCTACACACCAGTTCTTAGAATATCACTTGATATAAACCTGTGATTGCTTTTACATTTTGTATAAAACTGCACTTTGATGTTTTTATTTTATTGTGACCATGGCTGGGCACTCAGAGGCACCTGATTTATCATGTTTTTCTGGGCTAAATATTTTAGCGGGAATTTTTACCAGGTCCTTAAACTGTTATAAAATACATGACTAAAAGCTATTGAACAAATTCAGTCTCTTGGGGAATTTAAAAGCATGTGGTAGGACAGTTTGAGAGGTTTCTCAGTCAATAGAAAGGACGTATTTATTAGTTAATTTGAATCACTTCCCTTGATCCTTTACCACCTAACAGACTCAGAGATCCAGACACCTGCATGTTCACTCTCTACCCTAGAGAAGGCTAAGATTGTGAGCGATGAGATCTGGGGCTGAATTATTAATTAAGTACAATATGCACAATACTTTTAGAAGAGGGGGTGAAACCCCCCCAAAATGGTTTAATTACTTCTAAAATCAGCAGAAAAAAATGAACTTATAGATTGAAGAAAATGATTTCTTATGTAATATTAATATAGTCATCTTTATATCATGCAGTAATGTGCATGCATATAATACACACAGGGAAAAAGAGCCCACAATAGTTATAATGTGATAATGTAGTCCTGAGTAACACACCTACCTTAGCAAAGCCCAGTCCTTTACAGTCTGTAGCAGGGGGCACTGGGAGGGTCAGGCACCAAGGCAGGAAAATAGTAGCTTTTAAGATGACAGGCTGCATGGCAAGTGCTCATTTCTTCCCCTGCCTGAATTCATTACTTAACACGGATCATGGGGCCTTTATAGCTATGCCAGCAACGTTCGGAGACTCGCGCTGCTTGTTTGCCCTTTCTTTGTGCTGGTTAGTGTTGTCATTGCCCATTTGGGGTTGAAGACAGAGTGGTCAGCCTGCCAGGGTAATGACAGCAGCCATATGATTTATTTTTCACGTTCATTTCACACCTGATGGCCCTTAGAATAGCTGGCCATAGCCTTGGCTGAGGAATACTGGTATATCTCAGGTTACAGGGTACATTATTATTTTAAAAACAGAGAAATAGAAACTAAAAATAGGATACATAGGAACAGTTTAAAATAGTTTTGCTTTTAGAATAATTTCTTTACTAGTCACAGACAAATACTATCTTGCTCCAAAAGCTAGAAGAAAGATCCAGATCAGAATATAAAAAAATCTCTGAGACCCATCCATAGAGGAGAGATATAGGGACGCACAGAAAGAGAAAATTGCTAAAAATATGTTTGAGAAAATAAATTATTGATAATAAATTGAGAGAGACACAGAGATATGCATACACAGCATAAGGTCTCAGCTGGTAACCTTTGAAATCACATAGATATGGGTATGAATATTAACTCTGCTAATTAAAAGCTGATCTGATTTAAGCAAGTTATTTAACACTATGATGCCTCCGTCTTTTCATATGTAATTTAAGGAAACTAATTATATCCATATAATACAATAATAGCAGAGATGGCACTTGAGCACTGAGCCTGGCAACACTGTAAATCACACAGACACAAATACTGAAGCAGAAACAAAGACCCAGAGACACTGAGAGAATGAACCAAACACCGTTGTTTACTGAGCACTTTCCAAGTGCCCAGACCTGAAATTGCCTCTCCAATGAGGACGGCACACAGTGATCAGATGCGGGTCCATTCCCTTCCCCTCAGGAGCTCATCCTCTGGCAACCACAGGAACACCTGCTATACTCGTCCTCAGAGAAGAGTTTGCCAGTGCTCCGTGCCTCCCAACCTCTTATGCCTACCAATTTTTTCCAATAAACCAAACGGGATAAAATGACTCTGTGACGAGAATGGAAATAGGATAGAGAATAGATGGGGCAAGAGTTGGTGTTCACTACTTACGATTTGCCTCAAAACCTCCACCGGAATTCTACCCAGCAACTGATCATAGTCAAATTTCTTTCTCTTTCTTCCAGGGGTGCCTATTTCCTAAGCATAGTACCATCAAGTCATATTGTCCCTGCCAACACAGCCTTAAGTCAGGTTGGTTTGAAAACCCACCATGCCCTTCTAGGGTAATACAATTCCCATCAGTGACTCTTATGGACTCCTGTGGAGAATTGGAGCCCTCTGCTGTGTATCCCTAGCCCTACTTTCTCCATGGCTTGCACAAAGACCATATTTGATTGAGGTTTCTCTGCCCTGGCAATATTTGGTATTGAGGAGTGGTGAGAGGAGGTGAGGGCTGTGCCAACCACAATCTTGGCAAAAGACTAGGCTTGCAATTTAATTTAATTTTAGCCTCATGGCAAGAAGTGATGGAAGCCAGAGTTTTGGGCCTTGGGCCTATGGTAAAAACAAAAATCAAACAACAGCTATTAAGAATAGAAATTGAAAATCTTCTATTTTTTAAGAAGGATTGGTATAAATTTTTCTTTAAATGTTTGCTGGAATTCACTTGTAAAGCCATCTGGTCCTGGTCTTTTCTTTGTTGACTCTACATCACAACACATACAAAAATTAACTCAAATAGATTAAACAGATGTAACATGAAACAATAAAACTCTTAGAAAAAACAGGAAAAAAATTTCTGGATATTGGACTGAGCAATGAGTTCTTGGGTATGACACCAACAGCATAGTCAAGAAAAGTAAAAATTAAAAAGTGGCATTACATCAAACTAAAAAGCTTCTGCACAACTAAAGAAACAACTGACAAATTGAAAGGCAACCTACAAGAAGGTAGGAAAAATGTTCGCATATTATATATTTGATAAGGGGTTAGTTAATATATTAAAAATATTAAAAAAGTCTTTCAACTGAAAAAGCAAAATAAATAACCCAATTCAAAAATGGGCAAAGGCACTGAATAAACATTCTCTGAAGAAGACAATCAACTGGCCAACATGTGTACAAAAGGTTTTCAACATCACTAGTCACCAGGGAAATGTAAATCAAAAGCACAATAAGCTATCCACTCACACCTGTTAGCATGACTATTATCGACATCAACAACAACAAAAAAAAAAAAACACAGGTGAAATGTGGAGAAAAGGGAACCCTTGTACACTATTGGTGGGAATATAAATTGGTTCAGCCACTATGNGACATCAACAACAACAACAAAAAAAACACACAGGTGAAATGTGGAGAAAAGGGAACCCTTGTACACTATTGGTGGGAATATAAATTGGTTCAGCCACTATGGAAAACAATATGGATATTCCTCCAAAAATAAAAATATAATTATCATTTGATCCAACAATCCCACTTCTGGGTATGTACCCAAAGGAATTGAAATCTGTATCCTGAAGAGATATCTGCACTCTCATTTTTAATAAAACATTATTAACAATTGTCAAAATGTGGAAAAACTACCTATTGCAATTCTACTTCTCTTTCTGCCCAATCCTTTAGTATCATCATTAAACATCACTTCCAGTTGCCCACTCAGGGGAGCTGTGTTTTTCATTCCCACAATGCTGGGCATTATCCTTTAGATGTTCTAGTCCCAGAGGTGGAAAGAATACACCCAAGAACATAAAATCCTATTAAATGTTTAGTTAGAGGTGCCTCTTTTTCACTTCTAAGATATTGGCAAGGAAGAAAATGAATTAAATTATTTTAATAATTAGAATGAATTAGAACTACTGTTACTCAATGTGGCCAAGTGTGATGTTTAGTTTTATGTGTCAACTTTACTGGTCCATGAGGTACTCAGATATTTGATCAAATATTATTCTAGGTATGTCTGTGAGAGTGTTTCTGCTTGAGATTAAGGTTTGAATCAGTACACTGGGTAAAGCAGACTGTGATTGCCTTCTCTGGTATGGATGACCCTCATCCAATCAGTTGAAGGTCCAAGTAGAACAGAAAGATTGATCTTCCTGGGAATAACAGTGATCTGTTCTTGCTTGCCAGTCTTGAGCTGGGACATAGGTCTTTTCTTTCTTTTGTACTCAAATTGAACCTTTGGCTCTTCTTGGTTCTCAAGAAGAACTACACCATCAGGTCTCCTGGTTCTCAGGCTTTTGGTCTTGGACTGGAACTACACTATCAGCTCCAGTTTGGGTCTCCAGCTTGCCAACTGCAGATCTTAGTACTTCTCAGCCTTCATAATCACATGATCTTTATATATATAATCCCTTTGTACTTCTTGCCCAGTTTTGAGGGTACAATGGACTGAATGTTTGTGTCTCTCCCCAAATTTGTGTTTTGAATTTCTAACTCCCAATGTGGTAGTATTAGGAAGTGGGGTATGGGGAGATAATTAGGTCATGAGGGTAGAGTCCTCATGAATGGGATTAGTTCCCTTATAAAAGGGATCCCAGAAGCTCTCTAGCCTTCTTTCTGCCATGTAATCATGCAACAAAAACACTGCTGTCGATGAACCAAGAGGCGGGTTCTCACCCCACACACAATTTGCCAGCATCTTAATTTAAAACTTCCCAGTGTCCAGAACAGTGAGAAATAAATGTTTGCTGTTCAAGCACCCAGTGTGTGGTGTTTATGTCACATCGGCCTAAATGGACTTAGAAAGATGGAAAATGCAATAAATATATTTTGATAAACTTATGTTAGTCAAGGATTAAGTGCTAGCTGAGGGTGGTAGGAACAAAAAATGGGTAGATGAAGACAGAAATAATACAATAGTTGTAGTCTCAGAACAGCTGCAGTTGTAAGTGGCTGTAGATCACCCCACTAACCATCCCCTTGTTAGTTCCCAATTTTACAAAGCCCATATGAATCCTGGTGAAGCTGTATCCAAATGTATTACTGAAGTATATGGATCCAAGAATGCGAGGGCCTACTGCAGTTGATGCTGTGGTGCATCACTCAGTTGTCTTGTCCTGCTGGGCCTGAAGAACCCATCTTTCTATAGGAGTTGTTATTGCCGACAGATCTCATTTGATTCCTTCTTGGGTATTGCTGTCTTCTGAATGGAACCCACTCACCCAAGGCCATGTCTCCTCAACCATAGCCAATCACCAATCAATGTGTAGTTAAAAAGGCCTAGGCCCTTTCTTCAATTCAGGACAATTCTAAAGGGTCATCTAGCTCCAGAGATCTCTGTGGATTGAATTAGCCTTTGTTAAAATCACATGCAGTTCAACTTCTCCCTTCACTTGTTCTATTTCCTTCTCTCCCCGTAGGTATTAAACTGCTGCACATAAATGTTTGCTTCAGTGTTTGATTCAAAGGAAACCCAACCTGTGGCACTATCATTAAAAAGTACAAGATGCAAAAGGGAAAATGATCTGCAAAGCACTTCACATTAAAAAGCTATATTCTTTCATACAGAAAGCACTTCAACAAACTAATAAACTGAATATTTTTAAAGGACATAATAGGCTGGCCTCTAAAAATAAATTCTAAATTCAAATGTTCTTGAACATGAAAAGAAGACCAACATCATTCATTTTATACAGTATAAATTGCATTTATTAGCAAGTAACAAAAATGAATCTGAAAGCCCAATTATAGTGACACAAATATTTTTACCTAGAAAAAGAACACTCCAGAATAGCCACATACAGGTGCTTGAAATTTCAGGTGAGAGGTTAATTAATTCTGCTTTCTGGAACTGGTGAGGTCTCCTATGGTATTAACCACAAATGGCTAATTCATATGCATAATGGGAATTCAGTTTAACTTACTTAAGGACATGCCTGTGGCCTTTTTAGTCCTTTTGGGTACAGCTTCCTGAGTTGTCATTCCCAGGGGCCTTTGTTATACTAAAAAGGCATCAGAGTAAAAGGACTAGACTGCCATGACTAACCCTTATAAATAACAACTGGGATTGGGATAGTTTCATCCTGGATTCATCTCTTTTTTGACCTGAATTGGAAATGCAGCCTCTTGGTAAGTACTGGAAAACCCTCGTTTATACTTGTGGATTTCATTAATCAAAAACTTATCCCTGATAAGCTGTTATGATTTTACTGTTTAATACTTACTTCAATCTCATAGTATATTTACTACTGGAAACAGCCCTGATAACACCATTCTGACTACATTAAATATCACTCTACATTTAATATAATGAACATGATAAACCTCATTTAACAACTTCCATATAAATTGTGAACTTTATTCTAGAAAATTGATTTTCAATAGGTCCTTCTGAGATGAAAACAACAAACTGGAAAATTTTCTGTACAGCCTTTTATTTTCTTCTAGACTTTTTAAAAATGTCACACTTTAAAGCAAAAACAAAATAGCTTTTCTAGAAAGGCATAAATGTTTCTAAAGAAAGATACTTTTTTTGTAGTTAAGGAGTAGAGGTTGATGATGGAGAATAAATAGAATGCTGTTTACAAATTTTCTTATTACTCCATTTTTCTTGTAAGTAATTTGTGTTCTATTAAGAGAACTGATATGAACATGAAGTTATTAATAGGACTTGTTATGGAGGGATTTTTAACTCCAATGTTTAAATTGATTAAAAGATTCAGAACTCTTAGAGGCATTATTATATGTCAAAAACAATACCAAATTATTGGCAACTTATGAAGTTTGAGAGAAAGTTTGCTAGGTAGCATCTGGGAAAAACATTGGAGCAGCAGAGTTTTCATATACCCAAGGAGGAACTTCTTATAGTGGAGTTGGAGACATTGACAAAGAGGGCTGATGAGATAAAGTCTGAACAGGGTGAGTTCAACAGACAAGCTTGCTAAAAGAGGGACCCCAGACAGCAAAACCAACATTCTCCTCAAATATCTCACTTGGTTCAACAAATTTAGCATTAAGCATATTTTGACACCATCTATCCTGAAGAGAAAGAACTCCCAAAAATTCTATTTAACTGTATGGTTTCCTAGACCAAACAAGCAAAACTCCTGCCCAATCCCCGTGAGAATAAATCTTCAGGTTTTCTTTGAACATTTATCTCACTTCTTTCAGATTAGTGTCAGAAGAAATGTTTGAGAATTGGAAGACAAAAGTCTAACAAACAGCCCTCTATTGGTAGTTGTATCATGTGGCACTACTGGGTTAGTGTTGAGGCAGACAGATATTACAGTGGTTTTGGTCACAGAGACAATAGCTTATTTATTGCCTTTTATGAATTTTTCTGAGAGTCTTCCAAACTAAGGTGAAAAATATCCAAACACTGACCAGGAAATGGTCAGTGTTGGGCAGAGAAAAATAGGTATAATTCGGAAGTGGAATTAAGCCCAGGAAATCCATTCAGAAGACCCACATGGGGGGTGGAGATAGCTATTGTCATAGGCCAAGTCTGCTCCCTATAAGAAGCTAGTCTTGAGCTAGCCGGGAGGAAATATGGGCAAAACTGTACTGAATTTTCTCTTGAAACAAGATCCCATTAACCATTTTAAAAGCACTTAGTGTAAATGACAAGCTTCAGGAAGTGAGGAAAAGCCAACAACCACATCTCATCAAGGGGCATGAACAAAATATATCATTAAGCAAACAAGAAAATTTCTACTCAAGTTGAGATTACAAGTAAAATTCTAAAACTAATATGAAGGCTAGCATGAAGAAAACTACCATTTCAGTAAGAATACATGCTCATGGGAAAAGAAAATAATATAGCAACTTAAAGAGAATTTTGAAGTAGGCAAGCTTAAGACCCTCAAAAAATATATACAACATAATAACAATAAAATAAATGAAAAATTATTGGAGAATTATTAGACATAAATTGAAATAGAAGGTTATTAAAATAAGTTCATTAGAAAAGAAAGAGTAAATGAAATAAAATTCAATGGTTGGAATACATTTAAGACCAGACATAAATGAAGAGAGAATTATTGCATAAGAAGGTAGTACTAAAGAATGCAGCAAATTGCAACAAAAATAGAGTTTGAAAAAATGAAGCAATCTAACTAGGAAGTTAGAATGAGAAAATTCAACATTTTCCAGCTAGATATATTGCTGAATAGACAATGTTGAAAGTTATAATGACAGAGAATAATTAAAAGTAAAGCAAAGAAATGCATGAATTTTCAGGTTGTAATTGCTAAGTTTCAACCAAAATAAGTTAATTATAAATCTCCAACTGCATTCTACATATTGAACTGCAGAATATTAATGATAAAGAGAACATCCTAAAGACTAGAAGAGGGGAAAAAATATTAACTAAAAGGGATAAAAGACCATGTGCCAGCCAGCAAAAGATAGATGTACATGAAAAGTCAATGAGGAGTGTTTATTGAAGAATTTCTCTATAGAGTTGTATACAGGGTTAAGGTGACAAAAGAAGATGCAGAATTATTCAAGGATCTATGGTAAGAAGGGGATACAAAAGAGAATGGCCAGCATGGACTGACAACAGATTTTTGCAGCAAAAATTTGTAGTATTTTTCTATATGATGACTAACCATTAGGAAAAATAATAGAGAATAAATGATCCTATAAATAACAGCAACAAAGTCATAAGGATTCTAAAAATAAATTTTACAAAAGATATAAAATCCTCTATGGAGAAAATGATGAAAATATATTTGGGAGGAAAAAAAAAAGAACACTTAAAGAAAGGAAATAAAACTTATGTTTACACTAGGAGACATTGTATAAAATACATTACTTGTGTCTGAATTTTATGTAAATTCATAAAAATTTTAAAGAAATTCTTAACAGCACATAGATTATAATATTTACATAATAAAAGCAAAAGTTTCAAGTTCTTGAATTGGAAAATAAGCACCTACATAATTATTTTAGTTGACCAATCAGTCCTTGTATAGAAATTATATGTTATAATCCATATCTATTGTAATCATATCTGTTGTAATCCATATCAAGATTCATTTTAGTAACAATTTGTTTTCCTTTTCTCTGCGTGTTTTTTTCAGTTGGATATTGATGTCTACTTCTCTACTCATTTTTTTTCCATTGAGGTTTGTATGTAAGAATTATGTGTATATCACTTGAACTCATAAACCTCAATGATCACAATAAGATAGAGTCAGGCGCTTGAGCCACTCTGTTTGGAGCACTGTGGGAAGCCTCTCCTGAGCCTGTCATCTTGCTTTCCTCATATACCTGGCATGTACATCTTCAATACCTCTGAAATTTCTACCTTCTTCCTGATTGGGATCCCAGGGATGGAGCATGCCAACATTTGGGTCTCCATCCCCATTTGCCTCATGTACCTTGTTGCCATCCTGGGGAACTGTACCATCCTATTTTTCATAAAAACAGAGACTTCTCTTCATGAACCCATGTACTATTTTCTCTCCATGTTGGCTATCTCTGACCTTGGGTTGTCCCTCTCCTCTCTGCCTACCATGCTAAGGATATTGTTATTCAATGCTCCAGGAATTTCTCCAGATGCCTGTATTGCCCAAGAGTTTTTTATTCACGGATTCTCAGCTATGGAATCATCGGTCCTCCTCATCATGTCTTTTGATCGTTTTATTGCCATTTGCAATCCTCTGAGATATACCTCCATTCTGACCAGTGCCAGAGTCACCAAAATTGGATTTGCTTTTTCTCTCAAAAATGCTTTGTTGGTCCTCCCTTTCCCTTTCACATTAAAACGTCTAAGGTACTGTAAGAAAAACCTCCTTTCCCATTCCTACTGCCTGCATCAGGATGTCATGAAGCTGGCCTGCTCTGACAACAAGGTCAATGTCATCTATGGCTTATTTGTGGCTCTCACAGGCATCCTAGACATAGCATTTATTTCCATGTCCTACGTGCTGATTCTGAAAGCAGTATTGAGCATAGCATCACAGAAGGAAAGGTTCAAGGTCCTCAACACATGTGTCTCCCATATCTGTGCTGTACTCATCTTCTATGTTCCCATTATCTCCCTATCTGTCATCTACAGGTTTGCCAAACACAGTTCCCCAATTATTAAGATTCTCACGGCTGATGTTTTCCTCCTGGTGCCTCCATTGATGAACCCCATTGTATACTGTGTGAAGAACCAACAGATAAGAAATCTGGTTTTAGGAAAATTGTGTCAAAAACACAGCTAACAGAAATGCTTAACTACAACAAAAACCTAGTCAGTCAATGACATAGAACAAGCAGAATAAATCAATAGGAATTATACATATATTAATTACTTTAAAATATCATTTTTCAAATGTTTATCAAGGATGAAGAATCAACTTTGCAAATTTGTTGGATTAAGATTTAGGATTAGGGTTTTTATGTAAAAATAAAACATAAAATGTATTCTAAGGGTCCACTTTCACCAGCTTGCTTTACCAGCATTGTGGACACAACATATGCTTGTCATTATTTTTATCATGCTTAAAGTAATATTTTATGTGTCCATTTGAGAATTTATCCGACAACTAGATAGTGATTAGAAGTGACAGAGGGTTGCCTCTTTATTTAAGATATCCTCTTCAACACATTGTTTTCATATTTATGAGATATGCTTATGCTTTCAGGAACTGAAATTGAAATGGACAATGATACACACAAAAAGCCAATAAAACACATTAATATGAACCCATGCAGGGTTTTAAAAAATAAACAGAATTTAATTCATTCATTAATTATATGTTTTAATATTTCCTTCCTGAACATTAAAGTACCACTTTCTAAATTATGCAGGGCAAAAAGTTCCCTGTCTTTCAGGTCTCTATGGGAGTTCTACCTAATGTCATAACTCATACTGTATGTAAATGTATTTGTCTCCCTCCGTACAAGAATGTAAACCCTGATAAAGACTAATCTTCAATAAAGGTAACGTTACAGCTCTCACAAAGACATAAAGTGTACGTTTGTTAAAGAGCTCGTTTAGCACAGCTGGGCGTGGCTCAGCGATTGAACGTTGACCTGGGATCCAGGCAATCGGGTTTCGATTGCTGGTCAGGGCACATGCCCGAGTTGTGGGCTCCATCCCCAGTTGGGGGCGTGCAGGAGGCAGCTGATCAATGACTCTCTCATCATTGATGTTTCTACCCCTCTCTCCCCCTCTCGTTTCCTCTCTCTGAAATCAATAAAGATATATATATATATATTTTTAAAAAGCTCGTTTAATTCATTTTTAATGAAAGAACCAAGGAAATTATACAATTACTTCAAAAGAGAGCCCATATAAAAGACACCTTTATAGATAGGAATGTTAACATTAACTTGCAAATAAGCACAAATATGGCTTCTTCTATTTTGAAGGACACATACCAATTGACCTTCCACCAGACAGAATTTATTTGCATATCTGCCAATATGAATTATTTTGATTGCTATATTTTAAAAAATTAACAAGCCCAAAACGGAGTCATTTGCCCCCATGACAGTAAACTTCATTGCAACTTCAACCCTTACCAGAAATATGGCCTTTAACCAGTCAATCTGAAGTTTCCTAATTAACACTAATGAGGTAATCTGCATGATAAAATCTCTGCCTTTTTCTTCCCTCAAAAGAAAACAATCTGGCCTGAAAAAATGCTTTATTTTGCTAATGACTTCCTTGCCCCACCGTCCTTCTGCCTACAAAAATCTTTCCACTTTATACAAATTCTTAAAGCACCTCTCTGTTTACTAGATGCTGCTTGATTCAAGAATCACTCAATCAAGCCAATTAGATCTTTAAATTTTCTCAGTTGAATTTTATTTTTTTAACAGCTATTAGTATATACAACTTACAGAGCTGGAAAATAGATCAGTCTCCAAGTAATCAGAATCAGATAACCCATAAGGGTGTGTTCTATACAATGCAGAGTTTTCCACTGAAGCACATATTTTTCCCTATAGTCTCCCCTATTTTAATAAAATATAATTTTGAAGAAAGCTTTTCTTGATCACAAAAAAAGGTTTCCCTCTTTAGATTTGGCTTCATTATTTACACAGATACAGAAAAAAATGTTAATTTACCAACAGGCCTTCTTAAGTTTGCAGCACTAAATATTTCCAGACGGAATCTCAGACTGGATGTTTAAAAGATGCTTTTATATGCTATATCTAGTATAGGGAGTTATAAGCAAGAAATTGTCTCCATCAAATTATTCCTTCAGGTATCTATACATTTGTGCAATATTTTATTTTCTTAAACTCTCCTAAACATCCCAGGATCCTGGCCTGACACAGAAGTGGCCTCTCTTACTGATGCAGGTGTTCCAAGGGTTTGGGCACCAAAGGTCTGTGACACAATGTGAGTTCTTGGCTTTACACTGAAAAGAATTCAAATGAGAGCCAGCAGGGTTTAAGGTGGAAAGAGTTTATTAGTGAAGCAGTAGAACAGAAAGAAGCTACCCCAAAGGCAGAGCAGTCTCTCCCTAGTGAGGTTTACTTCTACTGGGGCTCATATTTAATTAAGGGGTAGCCCATTCAATAAGGGGAAGAAATATTCAGAATTTTTCCAGAAAAGGGGTGGAGACTTTTCAGAAGAGCTCTGTCAAACATTTTATGATCTTTTAGGGCTTTCTGTTTCCAATCAAGTTGGCTCGGGGTGTGGGGGTGTGTCATATAACATGCTGATATATACAATGAGTGTATAATGATGCCAGTGGTCCCTGTAAGGTGGCATTTGTTACCAAGCTGGATTGAGCTGGTCTTATGCTGGTTCTGAGAAATAAATCTGTTGGGGGTTGGTCTTACTTTCTCCTTGATAGTTCCTGTTGTCCTTATAGGTTAAGCCTTTTCATTATATACCTTATCTCATTACCACCTCTGAAAGGGATGTACCTGTACGCCAAATAACAGATCCTGGGGAGGAAAAATTTTATCTACCCTTCCAGGTTCTTTGGCTAGTCTAATAACTAAATTAACATAAAACAGATTGACAGAAAAACAAATTTAATTACATATATGGGGAGGAGGTTTGTATAATAATACAAAGCCCATAGGCAGATACAATAAAAAGGCTTATATACTATCCTGAGCTAAAGGAGAAAGGAGGGTAGACATCTGGGGCTTCAAAGAGAAGGAGACCATTCACAGCAGGATGAGACGAGCAAATATTTGGTAAACCAATGTTTGCGGAGCCATGTAGAGACAATGGACACAGAGAAGACTTTGATCTCCAGGGCCTGCCTAGCTTCCCCCACTCCACCACAGCTACTCCATGTTCTCTGTTATTATCTCTAGCAATAGTTTTCTTCCCAGGCCAGGCCTTTTGTCTAAATCATTTGGGGCAGCTAAAGGGGAAGTTGTAAGCTATTCTTGAGTCTATTTGGGCTTTGATAGTCTATAGCTCAAAATAGTTCACAGGACAAAGTGATACATTCTGAGGATATGTGTTCTGTATCCCTTCCCAGGCTAGTTTATCTGGGAGGGCTTTGTTAGCACAGACTCTATAAAGTCAACCTTAGTTCTCTAGAAATACCAGTTATACCTGATTTAATGACCGATATTTACAAGTATGACATTCCAGGAAAGGCCCTGGTTGCATAACTAATTTTTCAAATTATATTCTGATTAAAAGAGGACAAGTTCTTTTTTTTTTTCTTTTTAATCCTAATCCTACAATATGTTTATTGATTTTAGAGGGAGGAAGGGAGAGGGTGAGAAACATTGATGTGAGAGAGAAACAATTGACTGGCAGTGTCCCATAATCCTAATTGGAGATTAAACCTGCAACACAAGCCTGTGCCCTGACTGGGAATCAAACCTGCAAACCTTTTGGTCTATGGGACAATTCTCCAACCAACTGAACCACCAGCCAGGCAAGAAGACATGTTCTTACTGTACCTGTGCAAATAGCACATTGTTGTGAAAAGCAGGGACACTCAAGAAGACTTTCTGAACTCTAAGGAGTCAATAAAAATCAGGTCTAACTTCAAAATGTTTCATCTTACTTTACAAAAGCAGAGTCTACTAAATTAATGGTTAGAAATAGCTTAAGAGAGAAAAACCTCATTATATATTGAGAAAATAGAACATAAAAGGACATCAACAATATTACAAACAAATACAATGAGAGGTTTCTCATTAATTTATTCAACCTCATGCAATGAATTCTTATTCCTCTAGATCTTGGGTCAGCAGTCCCATGAAACTACCTGTCTCTTGACTAAAAAACATCCTGGATCTTGTGGTTCAGCCCACTGGAATACAGACATATCTCATATTATTGCGTATTGCTTCCTTGCATTTCACAGATAGTGAGTTTTCAGCAGCATCGAGTCAAGACCCTGTATTAGCAAAAGAATCACAACTCATTGAAGACTCAGATGATGGTTAGCACTTTTTTAGCCATAAAGTATTTTTTATTTTAGGTTTGTACATTGTTTTTAGACATAATGCTATTGCACACTTACTAGACTACAATATAGTATAAATAAAACTTTTATAAGCACTAAGAAACAGTTTGTGACTGAAGGTATGCCTGTAGTCTGAAAAGTTACCCAAGAGTCTATCTTTTAAACTTTGAAGTATTGGTACAGGCCTTTACCATGGGCTCTGTCAGGGTCTTTCTCTGTTGAAGAGAAAGCTTTGGCCTGTTACTGATTGAAGAGGCTCCATGAATGCATCAAAGTAAAAAAAAAAACTATTGTTTTAAGATAATTAAGCTAACTTAAGAAAGTTAAATTTATTTTTAACATGGATATTGTTAATTTGTTCCTTATACCATTCAGTGTAAAAAGCCTGCTGAGAGTTGATAACACAATGTTACTGACAAATAAATTTGGTTGTTTCCAAGGCATGCAAAAAAAGATAATGAAAGTATTACAAAAAAAAGGAAGTTTTAAACAAATGTCTATGAGGATAATGATATAACCTATATTCAAGGATAATGAATGTTACATCAGATGTATAAAAATATATGTAAGCATAATTTATATAGTGGAACCAATATAGATATATAACATAAAATAATGAGAAATAATATGCATAATATATCAAGAAAATACCAAGCCAATACCTAAAAATATTAATTAGAGAGATTCAGTGAATCTGGAGTAGGACTAGAAATATACATTTTTATAAAACTCCATACTAAAGTCTGATGAGCATCCCAGGTTGAAACCCACTGTTCTTGCATATGATAGATAAAAATTAAATTTTCAAAATTTTCTCAGTTTGTTTAAGTAAACATCTGTATGTTTAAAGGAGTAAAATCTAGTGGAGGAGGCAGATTCATAAAGATGTAGTCATCGTAACTCTGTGAAACTACTCTAAGATTATTCACATGGTGCTCTCCTATGATGGATGACGTGAGTATAGTTCCACCAGAGGGAGCAAAGAAGACTGAAAGGGTGTTTTCCTCAAAGAATTAATTCTTCCCATTTAGAGGGGGTTGGATGACTCTCCTTGACTCCAGTGCCTTTGAGGGTTCATCACAGGACTTTCTTTTTCTCTGCAAAGAGTCTGCTGAGCCAAATATTCCTGAAGTCTTCTGGACCAATAGGAGAACGTTAGGAAAGCAGGACTCAGTTTCTAAGGTCAGAATAAAGGTTGTGCCTACACAGCAGTGAAGGCACTGGTGACTGCATGCCACCTCCACTTTCTCTTTATTCTGACATATGGGTCCAACAACTTACCAACTTACTGGTAAGTTTCCTGATATTCAGAGCTAACATTTATGTTTGAACCAGCTCAAGCAAAAAATTCCACATAGTATCTGTCTGACTGTGGTTGCTAAGTGATGAGAATGAATATAATTACCCTAATTCTCTAAAAAGTCCAACAATTCTGTTAATGCATGATAAAAGCCTAGAGTTTATTGTAGAGGGTTATGGTAAAACTTTCTTATGCTTTCTGCTTTGATAAACTCAATAATAGCTTTGATCAACTCCATTAAAAAGCTATATATTAATGGACTATATATTAAAGACTATATAAATATATATATATACACACACACATAGGTAGGCAGTTTAGAATGCTGAAAAGAACACACAGTTCCAGTAATCCATTCAATCAGTAACTTCCCAAATATTGATTGACCATACTGATTGCATACAATATGTTTAGTTAAAAGGAATCTGACAGGCCTGAGTTTCTACCTTACCTCTACTGTACAACTCCAATATGATCCTGGGAACATTAATGACCTCCTTAAGAAACATTTTTTTCATCAGTAAAATGAAGATAATAATTGCACTTACCGTTACTCAAGTGCAAGATCATCATCCAGTAATGAGTGAAACCCAATAAGTGGAAAAATTTAAATTCTCCATAAATGATGGCCATCAGTATGTCCGAAATGTGGGAGGGAAGGGATTAAAGGGCTCAGTGCTTGGGCTTGTGAAATATTAAACACAAGGGTTTATTGTGATGATGGGTCCCTAAGAAAAGAGTAGATGTGGAAACAGAGAAAATGGAGTCTGGTTTGGACAAGTAGATTTAAAAAATATTTAGTTAGTGATGTCCAGGAGTATCTAGAAGAATTGATCTAGGCTTCAGGAGTAAAGCCTTGGCTAAAAAATACACATCATAAGGTGTCTGTCCTGCAGCACTTCCTTTAATGCACAAGTTCAACTCATAGCATCTGTGCTTTGACTCTGTCCAGGGTGGAGAAATATCTGAGACAAATACCCAATGGAAGTGTCAGAGATTTTGCATAGCATTTACTGTGTCTCTCCCATACTTGGTTATTAAGAACCTCTCTCTAACAGAAACAGTCCTTAAATCAAGGTGTACTTATTTCATATACTTAGTATTAACACTCTATGGATTTACTGCATTTCCACATGTTTATTCTTATTCTCAGAGCAGATGCAAACTGGCTGTAATCCCTGGAGACCTCAGTGCCCCTTGAGCAGATCATTAAGGAAAAAGAAAGAGACAAGTCCTCTTATATAAGGCAGAGCCTTTGGTGGCAGACAAATTGGATGACTTCTGAGATTTTATGCTGGAATCCTTTAACCAGTCTCAAAAGTGCTCTCCAAAATATATACTCACTAGTAAGTACTCATATATTCTTATCTCTTTGATTTTTACTTTACTTCTCTTTTTAAGCTGTCAACCAAATACAACTTCATACTTCCAAAAGTGATATCTTTAGGAAAATTGTTTCCTTCAGACTATATAAATGGACTATTCTCTTTTTAGGGAATCAATTTTCAACAGAATTCAAATTCTTCTAAATTGTGATATTGACCACTTCAGGTTATTATTCTCCTATCAGCACAACATAACCAATCACAAATTCCTGGCCAGGAAAAAATGAGGCATATTTTGTTAGTGATCTCTACACTGACAGCCCTTATAAACAGATGCATGGTTTGAAAAAAGTGAAAATTTTAAAGAGATTATTTAAATGATCAACAATTTTCAGAAGATAGGGAATAGGACTAAGGGTGATTAGATTTTGAGAAGATCTCACTTCTGTGAGGGTGACAAGAGGTAGGAAGAAAATGAGTGTGAGATTCCTTTGCTTTCATGTAGTGTTATTTTAGTAATCATACGCCCAACATCTTATCTAAGATGTGAAAGCAAGTAGTAAAGAATTCCAGGTTAACTGACTAGGGTTTAATAATATTTTACAGGGAAAATGAAATCAGATTTACATCTGAATGCAAAATTCCTTTCTAGTTTCTCTATAGAAAACAGAGGCCAAAAGTAATTTTTCTAATCTATGATATAGGTAGATTCTAGTCTAAAATAGCATCCACTTCTCATTATGTGATAATCATATAAATACTTTGTTCTGTCAAAAGAGAGCTGGAAATAAGCCAGAACTTTCAACAACTGCTGCTTGTTTTTTTAACAAATTTTCAGACATTCATATTTTACTAACTTAAAAATCTCTCATTGCAGAGCCTTCTCCATGCATCATGACAGTTATCAACACATCACATGTTGAAATCACCACCTTCTTCTTGGTTGGGATTCCAGGGCTGGAATACGCACACATTTGGATCTCTATACCCATTTATAGCATGTATCTCGTTGCTGTTCTAGGAAACTGCACCATCCTTTTTGTCATCAAGACAGAGCGCTCCTTGCATGAGCCCATGTACTATTTCCTGTCCATGTTGGCGCTGTCTGACTTGGGTTTGTCCTTATCGTCTCTGCCCACTGTTTTGAGGATGTTTTTATTCAATGCTCCTGGAATTTCGGCCAATGCCTGCATAGCCCAGGAATTTTTTATCCATGTATTCACAGCAGTGGAATCCTCGGTGCTACTGATTATGTCGTTTGACCGCTTCTTAGCCATCCACAACCCTCTGAGATACAGCTCTATTCTTACTACCGTCAGAGTTGCCCAAATAGGAATGGTGTTTACCTTTAAGAGCTTCCTACTGGTTCTTCCCTTTCCCATCACTTTGAGAAAGTTGAAATATTGTAACAAAAGCCAATTATCCTATTCCTACTGCCTCCACCAAGATGTCATGAAGTTGGCCTGCTCTGACAACCATATTAATGTCATCTATGGCTTTTTTACAGCACTTTGTGTTATGATAGACTTCATGCTGATTGTTGTGTCTTACATTCTGATCCTCAAGACAGTGCTGAAAATTGCATCCCAGAAAGAGCAGCTCAAGACCCTCAATACTTGTGTTTCACACATCTGTGCAGTGATCATCTTCTACCTGCCCATCATCAACCTTGCCATTGTCCATCGCTTTGCCCAGCATGTTTCTCCTCTCTTCAATATTCTCATGGCAAATGTTCTCTTACTTGTGCCTCCACTGATGAACCCAATTGTGTACTGTGTAAAAACTAGACAGATTAGAGTAAGAGTTGTAGCAAAATTATGTCAGAGGCAGCTATAACAGTCATATATAGTTAAAACCATATCGGGTGAATGTCTTGGGTAAGAGAGTAAAGGTGAGTTTGAGAAAACCTAATATTTGACACAAATAATTATCAATATATTTTTCTTGTTAATATTATCAGATTTATTTTACTTAAACTAGATACTGATCATAGGCATAAAACTAGACTAGGAAGCACATATCTTAGGGTCTCCATCCTAATTAACAAAAAGTAAAATAGATGCCATATGATGTCATCTCTTTCTAAAGCAATAAATTCCAATCAATACAGACAAATGTAGTGTCTATCCTTCTGGCAGAAATGGATTCTTTATCCCCACATTCAATTTATCTATACTAAGTTCTTTTGAATCTAGACACAAATTATATATTTTGTCTCCTCTGTATCTCTGTTTTAATCATCCTAATGTCACCAGTATTTCTTTAGAGAAATACTGCAATAGCCTCTTTGGTTTCTAAATAACTGCTCCTGCTTTCTAACTAACTATCTATGCAAGTTGAGAGTGATCTTTTTAAAAGACAATTGAAGGATGTAATGTCTTTTTAAAATATGAGCTCATTTCTTTGGTTTCTTACAATTCCCTTTTTGTCTTCTCAAGCTGCTTGATAGGTTGTTGATCCCTGAAACTGTGCAGGAATTATCATTATAAGAGTCTGTTAGAGTGTTCATGAAATGCATGTGTATTTAATTGTGACATTAGTTTACTCAAAAGCCATTTGTTAAGTATCTACTTTGTTACTGTCACAATACTACATGCTTATAAAAAAGTAATTAATTCAATGAGAAAATATAATACATTTCAATTAATTGAGTCAACCCAGTGAATTTAGTTGAGTGAATTATTATTTCTCAGTAATTTGAAATCTCATACATATCACGTCTACTGAATTTTTGCATGTGTGTGCATGTGCATGTGTCTGTGCATGAGTTTTTTCAGTGTGAGTTTCTGAAGTATATAGGCCTAAAAGATTTCTCCTTATGATTGTGTAAGATCATTGCGATTCTTAAAATATATCAGAATTTTTTAAAACACACATTTAAATCTTTTACAAGAATAAACTAAAAATGTATTATTGCAACAAAAAGAAAAAATATTTCAATACAGTATAATAGTTATGCATGATTTCAAAAGATTCTTATGAACCAAAGAGCTGAAGATGACTCTTTTAATGTTAGAAAGTGAGTTAAAATCCCTCCCTCAAAACAAACAAAGAGTAAACCTAAAAGTAAATGAAAAATATTAAAATATCACCTCACAATCCAAAAAAGACCAAGATATCCTATATAGTCTCTTTTACTCTATTTTGATTCAGGCCTCAGTCAGCACACTGAGATGAGATAAAATGACAACATGGAAGATAGGGCAGATATACAAGAGTTCATGAAGAGAATCCAGGAAAGAAAGAAAGAAGAAGAAAGAAAA